AAAAAGCCCTTATGTGCGTTTTTTCCCTTCTTAAATACGTTAGCCCAGAGGCGCTACCACCGTTGCTGATGCGCTCGGCCTTGGCCAGCAGCGGGTCCGTCCTGGAGCCGGCTGGCACTGGCTCTATTGGACAGAGGAGAAGCTTCTAGCAGCTTCCCACAGAAGCCACCCCTGTAGCCCTCCCACTACCGAAACATTGCCATGCAAACCTGATACAGTAGTACATTTTTAATATACAATTTTATGTTAGCCAAGGGCAAACATGAGGTTTTTTTCTGACCCTTTTTGATTTGGTGACTATTTATGGTTATTATTTCGATAGGTTTGTTTCAGAGAAATCAGAGAGTTCACAGTAACTTTAAAGTGCAATATGTTACTTCTCAAATATGCCCGTTTGCCACCTACAACATTCCGTATTGCTGCTCATAAACTTTAATTTTGCTGGATGCCAAGTCAGACTGTTTGGACATCGCAAACATAACCACTGCTCAGATCATCTCCATCCCCACTTACAGCTGACTGTAGGCAGTGCCAGGTCAGGTTCCTTGTGACTCCAGCAATAACAATGCTGTCTCTGAGCGCTTCACTAATGCCTGTTTTCTCAGACAGGGCCTTGACACTATAAGTAGCAGAGAGAGGTGATTAATGAAGGCACAGAGAGACCTGTCTGTTAAAATCTATGCAAAGTGGATGTAATACATTGCGAAGTTAATGCAGTCTAATTTTACCCCTTATTGTGCTTACAGATCCTGCATGCCCAATATTCCTGTATGGTAGGGGGAGTTGCTACTCTTTTGGTTGACAAGGAAGTCATCAAGGATCAAATCCATATCCTCGTTTTTTAGCTAATTACCTGCAGATGCTGTGCTGGTGGAGGATGAGGTGAGGCTAGTTATCCCCTGATAACACCAGGGCACAGCACATCGGCAGTCCGTTTCATGGGCTGGGTCCAAGTCTTCTCTCCCTTGGATCAGTATGTCTTAAGTGTGAGGAGCATCAGGATGTGGCCAAGTGTTCCTTGTCCTCTTCAGAGAGATCTTACTCTCCCATTGCTCTTCTTTCCAACTTTCTCCCAAAAATGTGAAGGGTTTGCAGTTTGCTGGTGTTATCTTGGCCCAAAGTGATATGTTTTCCTCTTCGTAGAATTTTGGTTTCAGCCAGAGCTGATTCAGAGTATCTACAGCTGGGCCACTGCATTGCCTTTGGTTTTATGGCAGGGGTTTCAAACATCTGTAAAGTTTTCACTTTTTCAGTTAAATCATCATGTTCTTGCTATACTCCCCCTAGTTCCACCATGGAGCTAAAATTCCTGAGCAAATCAGCTCAACACTCCTGCTCTCTTCCACCTCTTTAAGCCACTTTCCAAACCCATATAAATCTTCAACAAAGCCTTTGAACTTAACTGCTTATTTGAGAAATCACTGGCATGCCTTTTAAAACTTTTTTGAGTGGTTGTTCTTATTTGCAGTTGCAGGGAAGTTAGAAAAGCATAGCTGGGAACTATTGTCTCTGCTGAAATAATTTTTCTACCCTCAAATAACTGCTTTTAACCCATAAGGCACCAAGTGGACTTGCACTATTTTCCAGCAGAAAATCTCACAGTTGTGATAAGAAGTTAATCAAGAATTTTTACAAAGGGATTTTTTTTTTTCAGTTATCTAATGTTTACAAATAAAAAGAAAAGACTGGGGTTTTTCCTGTTTTTCATTTTCCAGAAGTGAGCAGAGGTGAAAAGAAGAAATGAGATAGTACAAACAGTTTCCTATTTGCTGTCAGTCTTGCCTTCCCTCTAACGTGTCCCAAATGGTGCACAGTTAACAGAATCACAGAATCACAGAATCACAGAATCACAGAATAGTAGGGGTTGGAAGGGACCTCTGTGGGTCATCTAGTCCAACCCCCCTGCCGAAGCAGGGTCACCTACAGCAGGCCGCACAGGACCCCGTCCAGGCGGGTCTTGAATATCTCCAGAGAAGGAGACTCCACAACCTCCCTGGGCAGCCTGTTCCAGTGCTCCGTCACCCTCAGAGGTGACCTAAACCTCACCGCTCCCAAAGCAGGGGAGCAACAACTGTGCAAGCTGTATTAGTAGCAGTGGATAAAGAGACTTGTAGTTTGGCCACCCCGTGCAGAGCTGAAATCCTTGGCTTGGCTCCAGCAGGAGAGGTTTGCGTCTTCAAGCACTGCTCAAACAGTTTATTTCATTTTTCCGAGAGAGAAAATGAGTTAGACTGGTATAACTGACAAAGATTTTCTGTAGAGCATTTCTCAAACATTGCTGGTTTTCTTTCTTTAAAATTTGGAGAGAAGGGGATGACTATAGAGAAAACATTTTACATTAAGCAAATCTTTACGTCTGTGGGAATAGACTGGCTAGAGGTTGGAGATTTTGCCGGTAGGTCTAGGAAATGATCTGTGCTTGTGCACATGAAAGGCCCCATTATCTCTCACTGCAAGTATGCACACCATGGGTTTCTCCCATCCATACACGTGGTCAGTGTTTTCCCAAACCAAGCCACAAGGGCAGAGGCATTTAGCATGTCTGACGCAGTGCAGCCAGAAGCCAAAGCCTTCCAGCATGGCAGGGAGCCCCGGGCCCTCTCAGGCAAAGCTCCAATTCCAGCCCCTCCTCAGCAGGAGAGTGCAGCTGGGGCTGGAAACACCGGGAGGAGGTGGGGTGCCTGTCCACAGGCTGTGTTGCTGAAGGGCGTGGAGGCCCGCCAGTTCTTGATGCTGAGGTGATGCTGTGAAGGGATCCCAGCGGCAGCCCCTGACAGGGCGTTAGCCCCATTGAATCACAAGTTCTTCCTCATGTTCAGACGGAACTTCCTGTGCCTCAGTTTGTGCCCATTGCCCCTTGTCCTATCACTGGGCACCACTGGAAAGAGTCTGGCCCCATCCTCCTGACACCCACCCTTCAGACATTTATAAGCATTTATAAGGTCCCCTCTTAGCCTTCTCCAGGTTGAACAAGCCCAGCTCCCTCAGCCTTTCCTTGTCGGAGAGATGCTCCAGTCCCCTCACTCCAGTAGCTCTTCATCTTTCTTGAAGTGGGGAGCCCAGAACTGGACACAGTAGTCCAGATGGGGCCTCACTAGGGCAGAGTAACCATCAAAGTGTTCTACCCTTCCATTAAACGTCATTACCCTTAGTGAACTTAATGGTATCTCAGGAGTGCATTTCTGTGTATCTGGTGTCTGTGCAGAGGTGCTGGCAGTGGGGGGCTGTGGGGCAGCATCTGTGAGGAGAGGCCCAGGCTGCCCTGTGCTAGACACAGCTGGTTCCAGCTGGCTCCAACAGGCAAGATGGTGGCACCTCTGGGAAAGCATATTTAAGAAATATTAAAAAACACTGCATGACAGCTGTGAGAGGGAGGAGTAGAAAAACATGTGAGAGGAACAGCCCTGCAGCCCCGCAGGTCAGTGAAGAAGGTGGGGAGGAGGTACTCCAGGTGCTGGAGCAGGGAATCCCCTGCAGCCCATGGAGAAGACCATGGTGAGGCAGGTTGTCCCGCTGCAGCCTGTGAAGGTCCATGGTGGAGCAGATCGTCACACTGCAACCCATGGAGGACCCCAAGCTAGAGCAAGTGGATGTGCCCTGAAGGAAGCTGCAGCTCATAGAGACCCCATGCTGGAACAGGCTTCTGGCAGGACCTGTGACCCCATGGAGAGGAGCCCATGCTGGGGCAGTCTGTTCCTGTTAGACAGTACCCTGTAGGAAAGACCCAGGCCAGAGCAGTTCATGAAGGACTGTCACCTGTGGGGGGGACACTATGCTGGACCAGGGAAAGATCGTAAGGAGGAAGGAGCAGCAGAAAAGAAGTGTTATAAATTGACTGCAACCCCCATACCGAACTCAGAGGGAGGCTGGGGAGGAGTTAGGAGTGAAATTGAGCCTGGGAAGAAGGGAGGGGTGGGGAAAAGCTTTTTTAAATTATGTCTTTGTTTATTAATATTTTACTCTATTTTTAATTGACCATAAATTAATCTTCTGCAATGCAGCTTTCCACTCACATTGTGCTGCTGGTAACACTGGCTTCTGCCTACTCAATGCTCAGGAAGCTGTCCAAGTCACCATGCTGCACCCCAATCATCATGTTAATGGAGAGGAATCTCCTGGATGCACTCATCAGCCTGGGCTTGCAGAAGCGGGTGGAGGGCAACATGACTACCTGGCATTTGGACAATGGAGACATGACCTCCCAGGCTACTGTCACCAGTTTCTGGAATCAGAGGGCAGTTTTTGCCACGTCCAGTTCTCCTAGGGACCCCAGGCTTTACTGTACATGCAGAAGACCCTTAAGTATGACCATTTGTGCAGTGATGTGCAGCTTTCACTGACACAGAAGATAAACCCTTGCCCTGCTGGAAAAGTTAGGCCCATTACTCTGGAGCAATTAATGAGGAATGGAGATGGGAGCAAGGGCTTGGAGCTGGTAGGAGACAGTTGTCAAGCTGGAAGGAAAAGGATTATTCTTTACCTGTGAGCATCCACCACCTAGGAGAGGAAAGGTTTAACAGGTCTGTGTTTCTGTTTCTCTTCTTAGCCACTGAGCCCTGGAAGGACTTCACAGAAGAAGGAGACATCTCCTTGGATTCACAGAGGAATGAGAGGGAGGGAAAGGATGGTTTCTCAGCTGAAGGGGATAGATTTGTGGTTTCTGAGCTGAGAACGATATGCAGGACGTAGGACACATAGGGAGTTTCTCAGCCAGGAGCAGGAAGGTTTATCTGCATGCACTGTGTCACCAGTGATGAGTGAGTGAGGTAGAGAAATGCTTGTCTGTTGATGATTCCATGGCTGCTTATTTGGCTGGGGTCATTTTATAAACATGGCCCACTCATGTTTGTCCCCAGCTGTCTGTTTGTAAGTGAAGAATAAGTTAATGTGATGCTTATTTATTTGTTAATTAGGGATCAATTCTAGTCCCTTTATGCAAAGAATTCCCTGGGATGTGCACAAGCTCTCTTCTCTGCACTGGGGAGTACAAGAGCTCTGGCCTAGTCTTGCTTGGCAGCTGGGTTCACAATTTTCCCCATGAAGAGGATACTGTGGGAGATTTGGTCAATAATCATCATCAGGAAGGGCCTGTTGAATCTGATGTAAGGAGGACGAGGAATCTGTGCAGACATTAGTACCATTTCTATCTCTGTCACTGCAGCAGCCTCTGTGCCATTCTCGCTAACATCCACCACCGCCTTGTGAATTGCCTGCAAAGAAAGAAAAGATTAAAATCTAAGTACAGAAGAGTGAGAAGCAGCTGGGGACAAACTTGCTCACACTGTGAGAAGGTAGTTTTGAAAAGAAAGCATGGAATGAATGTAGAACTGGTGCGAAAAAGATACTCATGCCCAGCCTTCCCAAGACAAGCAAAGTTAGGTCTGAGTTCAGGGAGAGTTTTCTTCAACATGCTGGCAGAGTCAAACTTGGCTGCTTGCAGAGATTGAGCAGCATAGAGAACATTCATTGTTCTGTTGTTTCTCAGAGTAAGATTTTGTCCTTCATGTTTAACACAGAAGAAGGAAGTTTTCATTGTGCATCAATTTCCGTGTGTGCAAAAAAATTCTTTCTGCAAAGACACAGTAGTGACAAGATTTATAGTATGTCTTTCTGTAACACAACCCACTGACATGGATTTACTTTTCGGGGCTTTCTACAGTAGGTATAGCAAACTCATATTTCTGAATTCACGTGATCTTATTTCATTGTCTTTGGTCAGCCCTCCGTGTTTTTTCTTCATTGTCCATAACGCATCTGAAATTTCCTCTCATGAGGTCCTACTAACCTTTCGCTATTCACTTGTCTATGTAATCCAGGTGTTTATACATATAATAAGGTATTATTCAGTATGAGAAATCACAAAATCATTAAATAATATAGGTTGGAAGGACCTCTAGAGGTCATCCAATACAACCAACCACCCTACATTGTGTCAACTCTGACACTAGAGAAGGTTGCTCAGGGTCTCTTCCAGTTAGGGTTTGAGTATTTCCAAGGATGCAAATTTCATAGCCTCTCTAAGTAACTCATCCTAGCTTTTGATCACCCGCATGGTGAATTTTTTTACATAATATCAGATGAGAATTTCCCATTTTCTATCTTATGAGCGCTGTCTCTTATCCTATCACTGGGCACCTGCACGAAGAATCTGAGACCATCTTCTCTGCACCCTCCTAATACATATCTGTAGCCACCTCTAAGAACCCTCCTTCACCTTCTCTTCTCCTGGCTGAATAACTCCAGGTCTCCCAGCCTCTCCTCACACACCATGTGCTCGAGACACATGACTGCCCTGCTCACCCTCCACTGGACTCAGTTTGCTTCAGTATGTCCACATCTCCCTTGCACTGGGAAGCCCCAAACTGGATGTGCAGAGCTCCAGAAGTGGTCTTGCAAGTGCAGAATAGAGGGGAAGGATCACTTCCCTCATGACACAAGGCATACATTCCCTGGGACGCTAGGGAAATCACTTTGCTTGTATGTGTGACAGTTTATTTTTTGTGAACTGAGGCTATCCCTGTCCCACAAGTCTGTTGTTCATATAAATTCTGAAGTGCTTAGATAATGTAGTAATGAAAAGTGTATACATAGCATAAGAATGATTATTCCCAAACTTCTGTCATAACTATGACTCTTGTCATGCATTAATTATTTTACACTAGCTTTTGTGAAATTATTCCTGTTGTCTTTTCCAGACCTGTTTTCTTCTTCAAAAATTTTCAAGTGAATTTGCAGGATATCTGTGCAGTGAAAAATTTGATATTAAAATGTAGGAACAACAGCCATTTAATGCCTAATATTTTCCTTCCTTTATTACCATCAGTGAGCCATGACTACACTCCAGAAGTGAGATCAGCCTATTTGCAAAGATAAAACCTGCATGTTAGCAAGGCAGACAAATCTCTTGATTACCATATCTGTTTGCATACTTACTTTGGAAACCTTCAGAAGAGCTTTTTCTGCCATTCCAGAGAGATCAGCCTGGTGACTGAACACCTCCGTCACACCCATTTTCTCAAACAGGCTCTTAACATCATAGGAGCTAGAGATGGAGAATTTTGGAAGGTCCAGGTAGATTTTTCTTTCCAAAAATAAATGAAAAATGTGAGTTTATTATTGCAAGATCCCTTGATGCAATAGCTGTTGCAGGTATACACCCATCCCAAATACCCATGGAGCTAAGGCTTGGCTTTCTAAGACAGTGATTAATCCCATGCTAGAGAAGCAAAAATTGAGGTACCTGTCCCACCAGTCACAGTCTGATCAGTGGTGCAGGGACAGAGTGCTGGTTTATGAAAGTGACTGACTGGAAAGTATCATCCAGACTGGAGAGAAAGAAATTGTACTTTCTTTTGGACTAGATTCTTCCCACTCAAGGCAGGCTCCTGAGGGCTATGTACCTGTGTGCAGGATCCTCACAGCTGGTAGCACTCCCACTGCTGTGACTGGGGGAGCTGAGAAGTGCGTTCTCGTTAGGTACAACCTCACCCGATACCTTATCTGAGTTAAAGAAACCGTGCAATGCTTGTTCCTCAGAGATGTGCCTAGCAATTTGTTGCCTGGATGAGTAGCGATGGCCTGTTCAATATTTAAACAAAGCAGCAGTTAAAAGATTACCTTTTTTGAAATGATTGCATCCAGTTAGACACTGTTTCTCTCAGCAGAGCATCCTCCACCTGCTTCATTGTCCCTTCATCAGGCAGAACAAACAATGAAATAGCATTTCCCTTGTATGGTATTTCTACTACCCAGCAAGACATCTTCTCATCCCTATGGATATTAAAGGCTTTTTCTTGATGCATCATTTTGACCTTAACAGAATTCTTGGCATCCAACAAGAAGTCATCGTCTCTGGTGGACAAATTGTTGAAAGGTTTCTCCCAGTAGCCTTTTGACAAAAGAGTGAGTATAGAATTGAGTAGACCGAAAAGGAGACTATTAAAGGCATGTCACATTAGTCGATGCATTAACTACTGTGTTCAAACTGTGAAGGCAACAACAAACCTATCTCAGTTTAAGGATGCTCGTTCCCTGGCCATGGAAAGAAGGTTTGTGTCATTTCAATGGTTCTAATAAAAATCACAGAAGAAAAATATAGGCTGATGTTTTCCATGGAAAAGGCCCCAGCCTTTGCCTACTAAGGCGGTGGTAAAACTTCCACAGACTCCCACTATACAGGCTCCAGGCTTATTCCTTCCATAAAACACGTCACCCGTGTTTGACAGTGTCCTGCACAGCCAAACACCTGTGCCTTTCAACAAATGATCATAAATTCCCAAGCTTATCCTTTCTAAGTATTTTCAGTGCTGAACAAAATTGATACAATGTTAATCAGTACTTCTATGGATTCTTTTTTCTTTATTTCTCTTTTTTTTTTTAACTCATATGGAAAATGGTTCTTCATATCTGGCTTTCAAATACTTCCTTATGTCATTTAAAAGTAGAAGGATATATTTTAAGCTAGATGATAGCATAGGTCCACAATATGACAAAAGTCCTGTTTCTTAGATCTGGATAAGACTTCCAGAGCTTATGTATATAACTTCTACTCGCATTTGTCACTCACCTTTAAAGAAAACGTAGTTAATCAGAACCACCGCAGTGTCCGAATCAAGACTCTGGAGTAAATCAACAATTTTCCCATGGGTTTTTGTTTCTATGTACTTATTGATTTCCTTTGTAGCCTCTGGAGAATTCTGGAAGTTACTAGAAATAGCTTCAGAATGATAAAAATTTGTAACATCATCCAAAAATGTTTGGAGCAGTTTCAGCCGGTTGTCTATGAACAGGGCATTGCCCATGTTCAACTGGACTTCTCGGTGAGGGTCATTTAGCAGCTGGAGGACGCGCTGAAATCCCTCATGGATCTCCTGCTCCTCCATCTCTGTCAGGTTGAAGGCAAGGCCTTTGTGCAGCTGACTGAGAGTGTTTGCTCTGGCCCCCAGGGAGAGCATTGAAAAGGCAGTGGAGATGCTCAAAGGAGAGAAGAAAATATTCTTGTTGCCTGCCTCCTCTCTGACCTGCTTGTAAAACCTAAATGCAAAGTCAGCATTGCTGAGGGCTATCTTGTCATGAGCCAAGTTTTCGTCTTCAGCCTGGGAATGGTCTTCTGAGTAATAGGGTATCTTCTGTTTCTGCTGTTCATTATCAGACCCATGTTCACTTTGGACTTGAAGTCCAAGAAGCAACAAACACAGATAGAATGCAGACTTCATTTTCCTTCTGAACTGTTCTGTTAAGAAAGAATAAAGCAACCCTTTTATCTACAGTATTTTATCTTTCCTGCATAAAAATAGTTTCTGTATTCTAGATACTCATTTTCAGATGTCAGTCTTTAGGATTACTGCTCTATTTGGAAATAATCTTCTACTTGACCTTCTGGATAACCTATTTCTACTCAGTTGTCTCAGTTTCTGACCAATGAGCAATGTGGCATTGCCAGAGGAGAATCCATGTTGTGTAGGCTTGCATGAGGTATTATGCCTGAAATAGTTCTTGCCTCTGACCAGCATGGCCTCATTGAACACCGAAGTGGCTTTGGGTGTATGGCTGAGTTCAGCTATTGGCCCCCATGTATTTGTTAAGTACATTGGCAGAGACACCAACTTTGGCTGGTATGTTTCTTTAGTATCCATGGTCTTGTTATGACTTGGGTTTTCAAGCACCACAGTGATACAGAGATAATGTTGGTTATAGCTGTGAATGAAATCCCTCTAAATGCACACTCCTTAAACTCTTTATATCTTTCTGCCTCTTGTGTAGCAGCTCTGAACTCAAGAACTGTATTATTTCAAAACATTACCTTAAGTGTTTCAGTAAATTGAGGATAAATTGTTAAAGTTTATTGACTGTCTCTGTTGCACATAAACTATCCATAAGGTTGCAAAGCCCAAGACTCAAGAGCTTAGGAAAAGCTATATCTGCCTTGCTGTGTACATGCAATTTGATGACCTTTCCTCTTCCTTTAACTAACATAAGCAAATTCTACATAACCCTACAGTCTCTCTTCTGCCCTTTTCAGAGGACGAACCGTGAAATACACTGGAGAAGAATGTTCTCCATAGTGTTCCTCACCTATATTATTTCAGATGGCAGAAACTTAAAAACATGAAGTAGGTGGTGGGCTGCAGAAAAACAGAAGCTATCTGAATGTTGTTCATGGCAGCTGTATACTTATTCTGGAGCACAGGATTCTGCCCCAGGGTCTGCGTCAGGCTGTGTGTCTAATGCTGGATTTAGGTCTTACATCAAACTTTTCATGGGGAATTGTTAATTGTGGGTTCCCCTGTTTCTGGCTGCCCAGTACAAAACACTGGAGAAATAAGCTGTGGAAGGGATGAGTATGGGAGCTGTGCTCAGCATGTCTAAAATGCTGGATGAAGACATCAGCTCTGAAAAAATGGAGGTAATTCCTTTTGGTCTGGTAAGTGGTCTGGTAAGTACTCTCTTTATTATTCCCAAAATCTGCTTTTGAGAGAGATTAGTTTCTCTTCCAGGCCACTTAGCTTCAAGTAGCCTGGTCTTTAAGCATGCTGTAGGTAGAGGGGTGCTACTCTCATTAGCTCTGCATCAGCCTGGAGTAGTCACGACATAGAGATTACAACTGCATTTACTCCTCTGGGAGCAGAGACAAGGTTTTGTGCTTCACCTTGGTATTGACTGTTGAGTACTCATTTTGGACCTCATCTCCCAGTTGTCCTGGCACTGCAGCTAGGAGATGGATCACTGACTGAATCATGCTTCCAACATTCAGAATGTTCTTCCAGAAGATAAAATAATTTCCAATTACTGTACAAAATAAATACATCTCAGAATTAAATATTGTGCAGTAAATGGCAGAGATCACAGACAACATGAATTCAAAGACTTCTAAGAAAGTACAATATGGTACTTACAGTGCTGGACTTCTCTTTCACAGTGCTTCTTCCCTATTCTTCATTTTGCTGGGTAGCATTAAGTTAATGTCCACTGGTAAATATTAAACAGAGCAAATAAGATTTATTTGCAAAGCAAAGACCGAGTAAGCTTTTTTTTTCTGGACATCAAACATTATAAGTCTTTTTTCCTGGCACACAGGCAGAACAATGCCAGCAGCTAGGCCTCTGAGGGCAGAGAAAGAGCAGGGACCTTGCTACTCTTGGGCTTGAGCTAAACTGTGGGCAAAAGATCTTTGCAAGTTAGTCTGGCATAACTGTGGTAAATGAGGTTTAGAAAACAGGAGAAGAACTGGAAAGATAAGATAAGGCCAAAGCAATGCCTGTTTATAAAAACAATGCTGTGCCCCACTGAACTCTCTGCATGGGATATCCTGATGCAAGGATGCCATCTAATTGAGTACTCAACTGTGTTGGTTTTGCCTGGGATAAAGTGAATTTTCTTCATAGTATCTAGTATGGGGCTGTGCTTTGGATTTGTGCTGAAAACAGTGTTGATAACAGAGGGAAGTTTTAGTTACTGCTGAGCAGTGCTTACATGGAGTCAAGCCCTTTTCTGCTTCACACATCAACCCGTCAGTGAGTACGCTGGGGGTGCACAAGAAGCTGGGAAGGGACACAGCCAGGACAGCTGACCCCACCTGACCAAAGGGATATTCCACACCATATGTCATCACACTTGGCATATAAAGCTAGGGGAAGAAAAAGGAAGAGGGGGACATTTGGAGTGATGGCATTTGTCTTCCCAAGTAACCGTTACTCATGATGGAGCCCTGCTTTGCTGGAGATGGCTGCATACCTGCCTGCCAATGGGAAGTAGCGAATTAATTCCATGTTTTGCTTTGCTTGCCTGTGTGGCTTTGCTTTACCTATTAGACTGTCATTACCTCAACCCATGAGTTTTCTCACTTTCAGTCTTCTGATTCTCTCCTCCATCCCACCTAGGGAGGAGTGAGCAAGTGGCTGCATGGTGGTTAGCTGCTGGCTGCAGTTAAACCACGACACCCAGGCAGCAGCAAATTTGTTCAGGAATAGCTCAGTATCTCTGTGTTGTCCTGCAGCACATGTTGCAGGTGTGCCCTAACTGGCATTATTTGAAGGGCTCATTAAATTATTAGATAAAGGACAGCTGGAGGCACTGGTTAGCTTTTTGGGAATCCATTGATGAGTATTTTTGAAACTACTAAAATGAAAAGCGAAGTATTCGCATGGCTTGAAAAATAGCCAAAAAAAGAAAATAAATGGAAGAATGAAATGGGCAATATTTACCATAGCAATATGTTAGCTGGGAAGAAGAGAGATCTTCTCAGCTCCTTGCCACACACACATAGGATAGGCATGATTTATCTGCATAGTATAAGTGACTTACACTGGGATCCCTTTCATAGGGAGCCGAGAGAAATAGGCACTATTTAGAAGTTTATTTAAAGACAAGTTGCATGGCACTCATCCTAATTAGCAATGACTAATTAATTCCATTGAAAGTACAGTATTTCACTCCACGTCAATCTACAATTTATCTACATGTAGGAATCTACCCACCATAGTTGTGGCTATGTGACTACTGTCTCTCACAAGATAGAGGCATAGTGTGTCAGAATGTATTTCTGCAGAGAGGTTTTTTTCATGATATGTGGAAGTCCTCAGAAAGTTTATTCTAGTAACATGTAAAATGAACAAAGTTAAGCAGGAGCAAGTATGCTGTTGCTTAACTCTAGAAAAGACAAGTTATTTTTCTCAAGTCTAGGCCTGCCTACATAGATAGCATGAATCTTCCAGCCCAGCCCTAACGCTTGGCCAACTATCTGAAGGATGCTACTGTTTTCAGGGAGGAACTGCTGGGAATGGCAGAGCTTCTGCAGTGATTCCTCTGTTTTCTCCCAGGACATGCAGCAGCACTCAGCATGTCAGGGAGAGAGTGGAAAGTTGCTGCTGTTCCTGCTCACCACTCCCAGGCACCAGCTCCTCTGAACCTGGACCAAGTCTCTTCCTAGGCAAAGTTAAGACCAGCAGTTACATCAGACCCATAAATGACCATTTTATTCTGCAAACTTCAAAGCAACCAGCTTCTCAGCAATTCTAGATAGATCAGCACGGTTAATGAATGCGTCAGTCACACCTAGTCCTTTTAAAATCTCCCTTAAGTCATAGATGCCAGAAATAGAGTCTCTTGGAAAACACTAGTCTCTCCTGTTGAATGCAATGGAAAATGAAGGTGAATCACCACCACACAAGGGTATCACTGGTATACCTGCCAGATGGCAGCATCTGTGAGAACCCAGGGAAGGGAAAGCAGTTTGTTACTTCTCTACACATTCCTGTTGGTGCAAATGGCTGTGTTCCCAGAACAGATGTCACAGTGAAATGTGAGGCTAAACTGAAAAGCTTGTGTAGAGTTTTGCAGGAAGGAGATCCATACAGGGGAATTTCACAGAGGAAGGTAAAGAGGTCCTGGAGGCTGCTAGGTAAGCAGTGGCAGGGACAGAGAGACTCCTGCTCCAGGAACTAGGGGAGTCATATAAAGGACTGACAGATCTGCTTTTCCCATTGGCCTGATAATGGTCTATATGCAAGGAATTAGGAAGAATTTAATTATCTCTTTCTCTACTGTCTGTCAAAGACTCTGTTCAGTTATGCAATGTCTTGGTTCATCCTTACAGGGGGAGTTTCATCTCATATCATTAACTTACTCCTCTTGCTGCTTGGTCATCAGATTATTATGTGCCAGCTTTGCAAGTCATATTTCTGGATTTTCCAGGGTGAAGGATTTCTGGCTGTGGAAACAAAACATTAGCAAGATAATAAGGATTGAGCAAGAGAAATGTGCAATTTGCATGATAAATCCTCATGCAGCTGTTTCTTGTTGCCTTACAAAGATGTGTCACTCAAAGTCTGTCTGAAAAAGTTCATATAAATAACCTTGTTTACATAAGTAACTGCATTAAAATCAGGAAATTGGCATCATTGCAAAATTGCTGTAACTAGAATAAAAATCAAGTCCACTCTCCATTTTTATCTGGTTCTGTATAGGGAATCCCAACTATGATGTCCATGTCTTCACCCTTTTCTCCTTGGATAAGGGAAGTTTTTCCGGCTCCATTTAAAAAAAAAGCATGACTGACAGATAGAAAAAAGATGAAGACTAAGCAAAAAGTCTGTGACAGAACTGGGAATAGAAACTAAACCTTTTCTTTGTTTTCAGCTTCTTTCAGCAATGCAATAGGAATCCCTGAACTAAAATTTCATGTGAACTGAAAGTTTGCTAGAAGAAAGCTGTATGA